AGAGAGAATCATTACCAAATATGAGTGTCAGAAACTAGGCCGATGGCAGTGTCAGAAACTACAACACAAGAAATTTTAAGTGTCAGAAACTGGGTCTTCAAACATCACTTTTTAAATCATTAATTAAAATTACTAATTCGCTTCAAATAATTATATCGCGTATATGAGTTTTTGTAGAAACTCTGATCTTGTTTATAGTATAAAAATTATTTATTCTAATTAAATATTATTTTAGTTATCGTAATATAATCTCAGCTGTCACTCTTAGAGTGTCAGAAACTGGGCCTTTTACCTTAGAGTTTAATATAAAAATAGTTTATTTTTTTTCTCGGGAATGCCGTAATGTGCAAGGGGTGCGATCTTTATTTTGTTCAATGAAGAACTATTTGCAGGTAAAACAACTTGCGAAATGTAAATAGACTGGTCGTTACTCTACTTTACGTTCGACAAAAAGCATTTCGACGCACGTAATAGTCCCAGCAGCTGCTTCCCCAAGTCTGCATATTCACTTTCTTGGGGCACGAAAATCATATTACTAGAGATAAGATGTAAAGGCAGGAGATAACTTACGTTTATGAGGGAAACGGCGTACCGCGGAAATGTTCGTGATGAAAACCCAAGCTGGAAGAATAATCTTTGCATAAGGAAAGAGAAAACGCTAGGAATTTGAATTCCAAATATATTTAAATGCATCATCTTTCCACTAAATTCCTAGTGACAATCCTTTATCCCTGTCAGGATTCGTTGGGCTGATTGATAAAAAATAACGCTCATTTATTTTGTTTACTTCACAATCATTTACTCGTGGCGAGGAGATTTTACTACCTCCATGTATCGGAAATACTTCTGGGTTCGTGTATCTATATGAAAATAAAATCGTCATGCGATACATGACAGTCGCTCGGGACTAAAAATATAATGAAAACGGTCACGATATTAATTATTATACGGTTTATAAACTGTATTAGTGAATGGAGTGACTCTTGAAGCAGCTAATTTATTTAATAGGGTACTACAGCTATGTAAGGTATATTGAAATCTCTTTCAATTAGGTATTCATTAAATGTTTAGCTGCTGTTGTACTTAAGCATTAAGCTGGCTGCAGATTTTCTAAAAATATTATACAAGCGTTCTTTACTTGAACATAAATTAGGCCGATCTAACAACAAAAGTTCTTAACAGAAAATAATTCTCGTTATTTTATATTAAATGGTGTATCATTTTTGTAACATTACTAAACTACTGTTATTTTAATAAAATAGCAGTACAACGAGCTTTATATGAACCCGTAATTTCTGTATTGGGATCCATCAAATGAGAGGAGCCTAAAAACATGGCGCCGATTAGGGAAAATTTATCGTAGTTCCTATAGTGTACCGTGCAATTTCCAAGTTTTTAAATTACGATAAAATGATAAGTATTGACACAATATGTGATTGGGCTGACACAAAGCCTCGGAAAGGAAATTTCGTTGAAGATGAGCGTGTTTTTAATGCCAATCACATTATAAAAATCGGAAATAACAAATCCGGAAGCTAGCTTTCAAATTCCGTCAAGTTTACTGCCTACTTTTTACAAACTTCGGATTTAAAAAGTGATTCACGTTATGTAATTGGTGAGATGATTCTGGGTGATTTAAGAAATATCATATCAATGACTTGCACGTGCAAAGCCGATTTAAGAGAACGTTGCAAACACATTATTGCAACTTTGTTGTATTGCAGCGGGTAGGTTCTTAACCTCAAAATACTT